TTTAAAAATTTTAACAAAATGTTTCTTTATTTTTTCCATTTGTTGGCCACTACGATTTTTAAATATAGCTAGACCGTCATCCCGGTATAAACCTAATTCCTTCCCGTTATAATATTGAGATAGTTGGTACAAGATAAAAATTCCCACTAATTCGCATACTTCTGCACCCATAGTTACATCAAATAATTCTCCGTTTTTTTTAATCCAAGAATCGCCATTGGAAAAGATTAACGATTTTCTCGCGTGCATAATAAATTTCCTATCTTCTTGATTTATAACTAGGTGCTGACCAGCAAACTCTATTGCGTTGCTAAGTAGCTTTACATTAATCGATGGGTAAAAGTCAGTTATATCGAAACTTAAAAATGTGTAGAGGTGTTTTTCATTAATACCTTGAAACCAATGTAAAACATCTTTGCGAGCTTTGCCATTGGTTTAAGCAGAGCTTTTTTCTCAATGAAGCATTGATTTTTGAGATTACAGTTTTAGAAATTCGTCCTACTTCGTTTTTTGCTGGGTTTAACAGGCGAACGGTGGGGTTATTTAAAAAGTTTACTTTGTGGTCTTTTAAAGTAATGAAGCAATTAGAAGTACCATTTAACTCAATTTTGTTAAACACATCGTGGTTGGTTAAAATTTCTTTACTTTCCTTATTTATTTCATGGTTTAGATTATGATCAGCTTTTTTATACGTAGATGTTATGGCGTTCATTAAAAGGTGGTTGTACTTATCTTTAGGTACTCTGTACATATTAGTTGATTTGTCAGCTTGGATTAGTGCCATGGGCGATACGCGAAGAGATTTTATATCCTTTGATATTCTTTCTTGAAATGAGTTGCGGATTTTTCGAAATTTTATATTTTTTACAAGATTTAACATATCTTTTTCAAATAATGACATTTCTTTAATAGTTGGTGGGCATTTTGCAGATTTTATACCATAATTTATAAACTGAGACGATTCTTTGTTATCAGAAAGTTTGTTTATGAAAAATAAAGCTTTCCACCTCATTCTTTTTATGAGAACCTCAGTTTTCTGCATTAACTGTATTAAAAACTTTTTTTCCGATGGAATTGGAATATTATATATATATATATATATATATATATATATATATATATATATATATATATATATATATATATATATATATATATATATATATATATATATATATCAAATCACGTTCAGTTTATAACCAAAAACAGAAAATTTTTGTCATCTTTATTACTATATTTTAATCATTTTTTTTTTTTTTTTTTCTATTTTTTTAAATTATTTTATTACTTTTTTATTTTATTTTATTTCTTTTACATCTTAAAATTGTCTTTTTTAAATGCTGCTGCTTATATATTACGAATTATTGTATATTACGGATATTTATTTGCGTTACTATTGGGGCTCGGTGATAAGGCTAATTTATGCCTTCTTCTTGCTCCAGCCAATAGAACTTTTTATATTGTTGTACATTGTAAATATTTTAACGGCGAAATAAACTAATAAAACTAAAAAAACAAAAAACTAAAAACATTTGAATCAAAGCAATATAATTTTTAAGAATGGTGAACTTGACCGTCTGAAACTAGTTTTTTGATGTCTGGATTGATTTTTGAGGTAGATAGAAGTATCACATTACCAAGATGGTTGTCTCCTAAATATCAAAATTGTTTAACGGGCATTTAAAAAAGTCTCTGCGGGCATTTTTTTTGCCCGTGTACAGTGATTGACCACCACTGATTTAAAGTGTAACTTTTTTTATTATGTTTATTGCATAACCAGGTTATTTGCATAATTGCTTTAAAAATCTACAAAGATTAATAAAGCGATTATGCAAATTTAGGCAGATGTCCAAAAAGAGCTCAAGATTATAACAGTAATTTCAAGTTTTTATCAAAAACCGATTTTAGTTGATTTTAGTAAATAAAATTAAAGTAAAAGCATTGATCGTTTTTAAATTAGTTTAGATTTAGTTTATATAAAAACCGTTTAATTGAACTAAACTTTTTTTTATTTTTTTAGTTTAATTTTGACGGATACAAATATTCGTTTTATATTTAATTTAATTTATACGGTTTATTAGAGTTATTTATGTAATTAATATTTAGCTTAATTTAATTTATACAGCTTTTGTTGTTCGTTTTATTTTTAGTTTATTTTTAATTTAACTTACAAGGTTTGCTACAAATATTCATTTTAGATTTAGGAAGCCCTATAAATTTAATTTTGATAAAAATTTAATCAAAATTAAATTTATAGGGCTTCCTAAATCTAAAACGAATATTTGTAGCAAACCTTGTAAGTTAATGTAAGTTATTAACCGGTTAATACATCCCTTGTAAGTAAATACTGAGTCCAAATAATCGTATTTTCAGTTATCCGGGTAATCGAGTTTTTATTTTTTTCATTACCCGGGTACCCGGGTATTCGGGTAAAGGAAAAAAAATTTACCCACACCATGTTGTGTTAATTAGATTTAAAATAAAATGCAACAGAATTAGTTTTAATTTCAACTGATTTCGGGTTTTTGTGACAAAAGCTGAAGCTACCGAAAACACTCTTTCACTTACTGTTGACGTTGGTTGTATTGTCAATAATACTGTAAAAAGTTTTCCAATAGAGTCACCTCGTTTTGAATAATCTTTCTCCCACAACTTCATTTCTTTTTCCAATGTGGATTTTCTCTCATTATTTTCTTTCGGAACAGTCATAATTAATTCAATTGTTTTTTGGAGTTCATCATAATTTGAAACTAAACCATTATTTGAAGTTATTTCTTTATTTTCAATTGTTAACTCTATATCCATCTGTGTGTTTGCAGGATCTTCATTAAACAGCCTTTTGAAGGTTTCTTTAGCCAATAAATAAATAGAACTTTTTTTTAAATAAGTAAAATGGCAGTTAATATCTGGTTTAGGATAATTTCCAGATTGTAAAAAACGCAAGAGTGATACAACATTAGGGTGAGTCGATTTTTTTTTTTTTTTGCAATTTCAAAAACGGCAAGGTTTCTTTTGGTGAAGAATTTTATGGAGATTCTGAATCTGCAAAAAAAAAATTTTTTTAATAATGTCTTGCTGGGTGGGTCAGCGTTGTTTTGAACGGGAAAATGACTAAAATATGACTAATGAGCAGGGGGAATCTATAATTAAAAAAAAAAAAACTTTTTCGAAAATTTTTGATTAACGTAATAATTTTAGGAAAATTTAATATTTGGTTCAAAAAGTCATAAAAGCAAACACAGAAAAGGAGTTTTTGTGAAGTGTATTTTTACATATATCACGCAATTTTTTCATATTTTAGACAAAGAATGTTACGGTAAAGTGTATTGCTTTTTTCCTATTTTTATCAAACTTTAAAAGTAAGGGGAGTTCTATTTAGTGAGGAATTTTATGGGGAATCTGAATCTGAAAAAAAAATAAAAAAATAAAAGATGTCTTGCTGGAGGGAACGTTTAGTTTTCAACGAGAAAATGACTAAAATATGAAAAAAAAAAATTATAAAAAAAAAAAAAAAAAAACTCTTTTTAAATATTTGATAAACTCAATACAAATTATGTTGAACTATATAAAAATGTCATACTTTGTTAAAAAGTCAAAAAAATAAACATTTAATGTGGGCTTTTATGAAGGTTGTTTTAAGAAAAAGTTTCAATATTTTCGTGTTTTAGACAGAGAATGTTACCGTAGGGGGTGCGCTGACTTTTCTTAAACTAATAATAAGTCAAACTATTTTGTTATAATAAACAGTATATTATATACTAATATATTTATAATATATATTATATAATGCTAAATGTGCTTTATTAAAATTTAAATATAATTAACAATTAATAATTTATAAATTTTATTTAAAATTTGTGAGTCCAACTAAGTTATATTTAGCATTGTTTTTGCTCATAAAACCCCTACTGATTTCTTGTGCTCGTATATATCCTTCTCGCTTCTCGTGGGAATATATTTTGGCACAAGCCTCTGTAACCTATATTAAACATTTAAACAGTTTAGTTATTAAAAGATTTTAAATGAGTTATTATAGTCTCGTAATTGTATAAATTAGAAACCTGTTTAACACAACGTTCGATAGATTGGGAATGGCATGGCCATTCTGGAACAACCATAGGCTTGTGAAAAAATTTTCTGACTTTATGAGTTGTGAGGCTTGTGGTAAGTAGTGGTTCGTATATTAAATCTTTCCACTCAATTAGATTGGTCAAATTATCAGCATCAGTATTTATGCATGGGGTTTTGCGAATTCTTACTGAATTATCTCCAAACTGGGTGTTATCATCTCCTACACCTCTAATCTCTAGCACCTTTTGCACTCCGAACTTTCGTTCCTCTTCATCTTTAGAACACAAAAGAGTCTGAATAATGCATTCACTAAATGCAAACCATGCAGATCTCATTATAGTCTTCATTACTATTTCAATAACCTCTTTTTTTGATATCTTAGTTGTTTCAATTGGAATAAAATATGGCGAGGTCCATCTAACCAGAAATGTTTTACCTTTATTTGAAACCAGCAAGGAAAATACACACCAACAATAAATTCAATAGTTTAACGTAGATTTTTATAGTTTTTTCCTGTTAGAAAATGAATTGAAACCCACAATCTACAAAAACGGTTGGCTGTAGTGAGCTGGAATGAGAAACAGGTCCTGTTTCAAGGGTTGGAGAAGAAGAAACAGGTCCTGTTTCAAGGGTTTCAAGAACAGCTGGAATGAGAAACAGGTCCTATTTCAAGGTTTATTAAATTTTCTGGTAACACTCCAGATCTTATTGCTGTTACAATTCTGTACCCGTAAGCCTGATCAGTCGAAAGGTCCTTAAGTATTTTGCCTGGCAAAACAATAAGTGGTTCACCTAAAGTAATTTTTTCAAAGTTTTTGTTTGCATCCAGATCTGTTACCGTATCCAGCAGTTTTCCTAATTCACGAGACCATTTATTGTTTGAAAGTGTTTTTCCGTCTAATTCAACTATTAGATGTCTGAGTGGTAGTTCATTAGTATGAAGAGCGCATATAAGCTAATTCAACCTTTTATTAAGTTTTAATTCTACAAACTGTATGACACCTCCTTCCCATCCAGTATTCACATTTGTTGAATCACCGCCCAATGCTTGTATTGATTTGTCAACACCATGTCGAATCATCCATTCAACTAAATGGTTGGCTACTATTTCGGGATGTTTTCCTTCTTCAGTTGATTTTTTTGGTGTAGAATGAAACAAAAATTTGCCACCTGGTTCCATGCATGTAGTGTAATGTTCTTCTTTAATAGATCCGTGAAAAAAGTTACTGGATCCTTCTACTTCTAATTTTACTTTTGTAACGTCTTTTCTACTATCAAACAAAATACAATTGATATTCCCATTGTCTATAGATTTTAAATTTTCATTTTTTAGTTCAATCATGATTTTAGCTTGAGCTCTTACAATTTTTTGATGATCGACAATAAACTGTGTATCTTTCTCAGAAATTAATCCAGCATCAATCCAGGCAGCTGTCGTCAAAGCTGCAGCAGCTCTAGAAGAAACTCCGTATCTGCAAATATAAACATTTTTAGTTATATTTAAATGAAGAGAAATTTCTTGTTAATTTAAAATCACAAAACATATTTTACCTTAGGCTATTTATTGCGACATTTCGAATACTTTTAGTATTATATTTAGACTTTTTTATTTTCGAATAACTTGAAGTACAAGGTTCTTTGTTGAATTCTTCGTAAGAGAGTTCATCTTCAGTCTTTGAAAAATCATTGCTTAAAATTTTATTTGTTGTTATGCTCTCTTCCCTTTTTCTCTTAAAAGCTTCTTTAATAGAATGGTTATGTAATGTTTTAACTTGTTTGTTGTGTTCAGGAAAATCTTTGGAAGATATTTGAAGCAATCCTCTAGCACCAACTTTATCTCTTTCAGTTTTAATATAAAAAATGTCTATAATAGGAATTTTAAACTCCTTAGAGCAGTTGCATGTAATGTGGGCTTGTTGTTTACAAACAACTTTGCATCCAAATTCTTTACAATAAGAAATTTGACACTTACAATTTAAAATATCAAACAACTTATCGAGCTTTAATATAAACTCTTTCTTATTTTTTTTATTTTCTTTGTTCACAGATATTAAAAATGCAATGTTCCAAGCTTTTATAATTTTGTACACGATATTCTTTTCAGAATAAATAATATGAGCTTTAAAATTAGCGTTTGCTTTTTGCCATTGGACAATAACAGAACATGCTACCTTTTTTGCCATATCTTTTATTTAAAAAGTTTTGGAGTTTTTATCACACTGTTCTCTTAATAGAACTGCATATCGAAGTGTGTCTCTATATGTTGGAAGTTCAGAGAGTAACAACTCCTTTCCAGTACCAATGAATTCAATTAAGGAGGTTTATTTCATGTTTCTTGTCTTTATCTATAACTTTTTGTTAAAGGTTGCCATAATTTGTTCCACAATTTTCAGTATTTATTTTAGTTTATATATAATCAAATTTTCTTCATATAATCTTATTTAATCACTTTTATAATCAAAAATATATTTCATTGACATACTTGTCACTTATTTATAAGTAGATGTGAAAAGTTATTATATAATAAAAAGTAATGTAATTCCAATTTACAACTTTAACAGCTGTTTTAAAAGAAATTACAATTTTCTAAAATCGACTTTGAATAAAACGTTTTGACGATTTTTAATTAACTAAATGAAAAGTTTTATTAAAATTCAGCATATTGGGTATTAAATTTATTTAAAATAAGCTCAATACTCATTATGAGTAATAAACTTATTTTTAAGTTTATTGTAGTTTGATAAAAACAGGAAAAAAACAATACACTTTTACCGTAACATTCTTTGTCTAAAATATGAAAAAAGTGCGTGATATATGTAAAAATACACTTCACAAAAACTCCTTTTCTGTGTTTGTTTTTATGATTTTTTGAACCAAATATTTTCCTAAAGTTCAACATAGAAATTATTAAGTTAATCAAAAATTTTCAAAAAAGTTTTTTTTTTTAATTATAGTTTCCCCCTGTTCATTAGTCATATTTTAGTCATTTTCCCGTTCAAAACAACGCTGACCCACCCAGCAAGACATTATTAAAAAAAATTTTTTTTTGCAGATTCAGAATCTCCATAAAATTCTTCACCAAAAGAAACCTTGCCGTTTTTGAAATTGGAAAAAAAAAAAATCGACATACCCTAATACAACATCCTCATTTCGTCTTTCTTCAATTCTTTTCTTCAAAGCAGTGAACATTTCCATGGCTAACTGCGTATTTGTTTCTTTTAGTTTGTTTAGCAAAAAAATACTCCTTCAGCTTTTAAAAGATTATTATTATCTTTACTGAGCTCTTTAACAGCAAGCTCAACCGGTTGTAAAACATGTGATATTTCTTCTAAAACTTTGATATTTTTTTCTGAACATTTTTGCTGACCTAATTCTATTAGAGCCTTTTGTATACAATCGTATATTTTTATGAAACGATTTACCATTGGT